AAAAGCTAATTTGTTTAATTTACTATTGTGGGATAAAAAGAACAACTCAATAGAAAAAAATTGGGTAAAGGATTTATAAAGGCAATTTATATAAAAAGAAATACAATGGGCTAATAAATATTTAGCATATGATCAACCATATTCATAATTAATTAAATGCAATCAAAAGAAAAAGATATTATTTTAACTTATCAAATAGTCAAAATTGAAAATTTTTGATATGATATCATCAGTGTTGGTAATGGTTGGGAAAATAAGCTTTCAGCATACACTGTTAGTGGTGCTATAAACTGATTTGAACTATTTGAAGAGAAATATGACAATATCTCTCCAGTTGAATGATATTTCCAATTAAAGACAATACTTAGGAAATTTTTTTTTTTAGCTTTTTTTTTTTTTTTTATTCCAGGGTTTTGTGAGGGTACAAACATTATAGTTACACTTTATGTCTTTGCCTCACCCAAATGCGGGTTAAAGGCATGTCCTTCCCTCCCTTTAGTGCTCCCCGTGTCCTTTAGTTGTAGATTTGCCCCCTCCATCCCCCTAATCCCTAGAGAGTATTTCTGCCATGTGATCAACCTAATGTTGATCAGTTAGTACCAATTTGATGGTGAATTACTTAGGAAATTTTGAAATGAACATTCCCATTGATACAGCAATTCTACTTCCATGAATTTATCCTAAATATACACTCACAAAAGTACCTCAAGATATATAAATAAGGATATTCCTTGCAGCATAGCAACATGACAAAACAAACAAAAAATACTCCATCACTACAGAATGAGCTAAATAAATTCTGCTACATCCATATAAGAGAAGCTGTTGGAAAGAATGAGGTAGGTCTGTATGAATTGCTATGCATCTGTCTTAACCAAATATAACTGTCCTAAGGGAGAGGGAGACACAGATGCAAACCAGTATGTATAACATTATGCCTTTTTCCTTGACCTAAATTGGGGTTCTGTAAATTAGCAAGAAGAGGAGAATGCATGGATATTGTACAGGCAACAAGCAATGTCTAGCACAGATTATTTAATTCTCAAAACTAGGATTCCTTTGTTATCCCATACTAGGAAAATAGGAACTGCAGAGTCTAAGTGAAAAGCAAGTTAGTCAAGCAAAGTCCCATGGAAACATGACCTGTGAGTTCCACCCCTGGACTAAGGCCCCAGTATCTCTTCTGGAGAATCTCAGAGAAGTTGATTTTATTTCTTACTCTCCCTTCGCCCCCACCCACAAAACAAACACACTAGAAAGGAAACATCATGAGGGAAGGGCCTTTATTTGGTTCACAAGTATCTACACCCAGCACTAAGAACTATGTCTGGTACACAAGTCTTCTAGAATAAATGAATGAATTCCAAAGCCAGCCCTAGAGTAGAACCAATGTAACCCCTTTGGCAATGCTGCCTCTCAGTAATTCTATGGGCTCCTCAATGAGCTAACTCTGGGCCTCTTTGCATTGATACCACCTCCAAAGACCTCCTCAACTGAGACTTGGTGATTCACTTATTACCTAGTTAATTGCATACCTCCATCTCAATTCTCTGCCCTTATCCATATAGGTAAGAGGAGATAAATGCCTACACAGTGTAATTTAAGCACTGTTACTCAAAGTGCAGGTCTGCAATGAGATAAGAAGCATACACCAGAATGTAAATCAATGACTGCTTCCTTCACCTAGAAAGTCTTGCTACAAGATACTTAGGATGTAGCTTATTTACATTCTGGCAAAGCTCTTTATCTCCTTGCATAGACCAGTAACAAATTAAGAAATGCAGGTCACACTTTGATTATCGCTAATTTAAACTAGGGCCTCAAGTGATCAAGTCCTAGCATTTGAAAGTCTTTCTTTGCACTAAACATTGCTTCCTCCATCAAATCAATTTCCCCACACTGACAAGAGGAATCTGAAGCAGCAAAGCATGCTGGTTAGGATAATGAAAGACAGGAAAAAGGAGTGAAGGGTGCCAAATAAACTTGACCTAATTTACACATAGGAACACATAGGAATTTTGCACATAGGAACTCAAAGTCCCTTCTCAGAACCTGGAAGTTAGTATTAAATTGGTAACAGATTACTGGCTGAGTCCCAAGCACCAATAATGTGGTTAAAAACAGTAATTAAGCATGTGAAAAATCAGATGCGGCGGCCAACAGTCCTGTGCACTTTCAAAAATTCTGCAGTCTCAATTATCTGTCACTTTCCATTAGATTTGCAACTTGGCTAAACTCAGGACTTCCACCCCACATAACCATGTCACTTAAAATCCAGTATCCAAACAAGAGTCAGAAAATCACCCTGTTTTAATCTCTGGACTAGCATTCCCATGAGCCAATGATCCTTAAATAAACACTATTTTTAAGTCTTCATTACAGAGTACATAGTTTCTCTTCAGGCAAGATTGGGCTGCCAATTTCTCTTCTTAAATCTTAATCCCTTCTATTCCAAAGAAAAAATAGAAACACACAAACAGAAGTTCATAAGGAATACAGAATGGAACTCCCATCCTTCCATGGCTATGGTCTTCCTGTAAATATAGCTGAAAAATAAAACTCCACAATTTAAAAAGTTTTTTAATACAGGAAGAATATGTTCTTTAATAATTCATAACTCTATACCTCACCTCCCACCAAATAATACTGATATTTCTAACCTCTCATTTTGATTTCTCTGGAACAGCCACTATCTCCAATAATTAGTTTTATTTATCATTCCCTTGCTTTTTTCCTTCTGTATAATCTATATTCACAAACATGGTTTCTAAATTCAACAACAGTTACAAAATTAAAGCTTCATACCTTCCCTGACTCCCTGACACCCTAGCCATGCTCTATTCCATTCTCATGTTTCCCTATGCATTAACAGAAAAATCCAATATTGAATTTCCCCTCTTGTGTGTGCCCTGTGTCCCTTTTCTTTCCACTCTGCTGCCTACAGATTTTCTCCAAATACTTCTAATTTCTCCAAAGTTTTATGGTAACTAAAGAATTTATTTTTCCTATTTCTGCTAATTCTTTGTCACAGTTGAATCATAAAATTCATATAAATCAGAACTCCATGTACATGGTCTTCTAACAAAAGTTATTTATAAATTCCATTGTTCTAAAGTCCAAATTAACATATGTCTTCAACAATACTATCTATTGGTTTCAGGCAGAGCTAAAGTATTTTCTACTCTAATGTGTAGCTTTGTTGATATTTGTGAAAGTTTGTAAGTTGAAATTTTGTAAACAGGAGAGATTCTGTCCTTCCAAATACTCAGCATATTGCTATCTATGTGCCCAATAACGATGTGTTGCACATCGTAGACATTCAATAAATATATCATTTGGTAAACAAGGAATTTCATAAGGCTTTAAAAGAAAAACAGTAAAAACACATCTTAAATATCACAACCTTTATCTTCAAATGTAATGCTCTCTTAATCCAACAACTCCACACTTAGGAACAGAGATTAAGGAAATTATCTTAAATATAAATAAATGAATGCATACCTACATATATATACAAATAAATAAACATACAAAGATGTTTACTTTAGCCCCTAGATGTTCAGCAATGATTAATAAAATTATATTCATTCGCTTGGAAGAATGTTACACAATTTAAAATAACATCAACATAGAATAGGTAATATTCTATGGAAAATGTTTTGGTATAAAGTTAAATGAAAAAGCAAGGTTCCAAATTTTATCTACAGTATTATTGTGATTATTTTTAAAGTGGTGCAGAGAAAAAAAGACTAGAAGGAAATACATCAATGGGATTACAGGTAATATTTTTCTATGCTTTCAAAATTCCTACAATGAACACTTATTACCACTGTAATGAAAAAAATAAGTTTTACTATAAAAGTCCCAATCTTTTACCAAATAAGAAGGAAGACTCAGACTATGTGTAGGAGGTAACATATGGAAGTAACTATCTAAACCTAAAACTGTATTTTAGGTTTCCCCCTTTAACAAATTTGTCCTATTCTATTACTGAAGTAATTTTTTATAGTGGGTAATAAAATTTTAATAGCACATCCAAATATGCCATTCACTTTTGATTGCTGATAATCCACATCTCCAAATCACAACTATTCTATGTTGACCTTTCAATCTGTCTAAATAAACTAGCGACAAACTAGCCAAAAACCAAGGCTACTTTGAAATCCTGTTTTTCCCACTTGTGTGTTTTAAGCAAATCATTGAATCTCATAAATCTCCAGAGATGTTGCATCAGTCTTTCTTAGTGGCATATATCAGTGTCTCAAAACCTCTACAGTAAATGAACTTTCTGATACCTAACCCTAATATCTTCTGGCGTCCATTTGAACTCATTTCTCCCAGTTCTGTCCTCAGTGCAACTGACAGCATCTGCTCACAGTCACTCAGATCCCATTAGACAGCAACCTTTTGTTTACATGATTGATTATTACATTCCATGTTCATTCCATACAGTGATTTTCATTTGATTATAAATCGTGGTCAAACAGTTCCAAGAGCATTCCTCAACCTCCTAATATTACTGCCAATATTAAATTCAGAAATTAATACTTTTTGCCACAATCTCATTGAAAAATCTTCCATTTACTGTGAATAAGCTTTTGGTTGAAAGTAAAATCCCTTCAAACATATTCCATCTTTGCTTCTGCTTCCACAGTCCCATGCCAAAGCACAAGCATCCAGGCCATATCTTATCTTTTCCTTCACAGTATCCAATCGGCTTTTTATAGCCAGAAACTCTCTGAATGCAAAGCACGACCTTGGCTACTAGCTTCCCCTGGCAATAGTTTGAAAGTTATTTATAACTTTAAAATTAGCGTGAAAGCCTACATTTCTCATCATAACTAGTCAAAACATTCCCATTTTATATAATAATGTGATCTTCCTTATTTCAGAAGGAACCCACATTTTAAACCTACGATATATAACTAAACAGAGAAATTCAATGCAGAAATGAGAATGCACTGAAGTTCAGCTCATCTCTTTACAAACTTCACTCTTACCTTTCTGTTGCTTCCTGTAAAGTAACTGTGCTTAAAATTCGGCTCTTGCAGGGAATTTTCCAAAAAGAGCTTGGGGGAAAAAAAAAGACTTCTTTATAGTCACAGAGTTCCAGAGTACCAAACTGAGAGGCAGTGACAGTGGGGTAGTCACTTTAGCTGACTGTTGTTCCCCCAGGATAAGAAAGAAAGGGGAGGTTACAAGCCAGGGTGGGTGGTATCTAATCCTGAACTGCTAGTCACTGACCTCACTGACAACTTGTTACTGAAAATACTTCGTTGAAAAAGGCCAGACACATACTTTGCCTAGAGAACCACAAACATAGCTTGGTAGAAAGCTCTGAATAAGTTAGATTTTCATTTCTCTAGTCCCTTTCCAAAATAAGGACCTCTTATATCTAATTAAAGCTGAAGGTTGAATTATTGAAAGTGAAAAATGGTAAAGCAGGGATAACAGGAGTCCAGGAAATCCTCACATCAAAAGATCAATTATGCAAAATTCAGTGTCTTCAGAACCATAGAGATGATGGCATCAAGGCCATGTGTCAAATCTGAGATAGTATTTTTCTTCTGAAATCTTATCTGTCTCATACCTTTGCACCAAGCATCACACTCTCTGCTTTCAGCATTTATGAGGAACCACATAATTATCAGTAAAGAATTTAAACTGAAGAATTACTAAGAACTCCATAGATGGAAACAGTATTAGATTTAAGCCCCCAAAAACATTTTTCTCCACCAAAATTTATTTTTTCTGTCTATGACTATCCTTTTTCATCTTTCCTTTTTTTGATATCCTCTTCCTCATTATCTTAACATTCACTGGAACAATCTAGCATATCCCTGCCTTATTCTTTATCATTTCATCAATTCCTTGACACCCCACTTGGACTTGTATGGCATCTCCTTGGGCTTACCACTTTTCTGACTTTCTTCTAACAACTTCTAAAACAAGAAATGGAAACTAAAATATGAACTACTCATTTGAGTTTTGGCAGTCCTATTCTTAAAAGGCTCAATTCAAAATAAAAAGAAAGCATTTATTTATTAGCTCTCCAGACACTCTTAGCACAAATATCAGGGAGCCAAGAGGAAGACAGGGTCTGGGGATTGTCAGAGAGAATCAACTGTGAAATGGCTTTTGTTTCATATGATTTTGGGGGAAGCCTGCAAATTAACCGCATTTTTATATAGCTACCTTTAAAATGTGCATAATTGGCATTACATTTATCTGAAGATTCTTAGTTGCTAACATACTGTCCTCCCCAGATTTTTTTTAAAGCAGCATTTTCCCCCTGGAGAATCTAGGAATAGCCTCTTTTCACAGTGAGACAAAGAGTAAGTTTTATGTCTCTCAATCCATCTTTTCTTGAATAAAGAAATCACTTGACACTTGCAAAATAGCAGGTTTTGTTTTAGAGCTTTAATAATGAATGTTTTCCAAACCAGGACTGCTGAACTGAGCCCAAGACAAGATATCCAAATTCTATTATAAGCCTAGCTGTAAAACCACAATAAGTTACTTACCTGCTCTGTACCTCTCCTTTCTGTCTGCAAAATGGAGATGAAAACTCCTATTCTTTCTATTTACTTTTCAGAGGATATGTGAATTAAATGGATAAAATCTGAAGTGCTTTAAATTACACTGAACTCCTCAGAGATGCAATACCAATAAAAACGTTATAGTACTGGGTATTGTCAAAACAATTAAATATCATAAGTATCTGAAGTGTAATTTTAAAGAGCATTGAGTAGTGGTATTTTTATAATTCCTTCATAAAAATGCCTGCAGTCTCCAAGATAGGTTTTAGCTGAAGTACTTCCCACTATAGCCACATTCAAATCACGTTGAGTTTGTTGAGCAGGGGCCCCATGGTCCTCTGTATTTATATCAGTTTGTTGACAGAAAACACAGATCACCTATGTGAAATTTCCATAGCTAACTATAGGGTAGCAAACAAAACCAGAGAAATCTGGCTTTCTCTGTGTGATCGCTGAAGCATGCTGAACACTAAACAGTTCCTGTAAACTACACAACCCCTGCATTTTGCATCCTGGCCTCCTTCCAGATTTTCACAGTAATTCTTTCTTGTCACCTTGCCCAGTCTTGTTCAGTATTTATTTTCCTTCCCTATTTACTTGTTTCCTTTCTTTATACTTTTGAAACTTTAAAATTTTGGTTCACATTCCTTTTGCAAGCAAACAAAGGTTAAGCATAGAAGAGCTGGGAGAAAAGAAGAGAAAAGAGGGAGAATAAATCTGTGTCATTAGTAGCAATCTTCCTGAGGTAATCAAAAGTGTGTTTTTGGTTCTAGGTATCAGGGCTAGCCCCAGACAAAGTCATTCAACTGCATGTACTGAGAAGCCCCTTGATGCGGAGCCCTGTGTTAGGAGCCAGCTAGAAGATTAGAGGCAACGGAGGCCTCCAAATAGAAAATAATTCTATCCCTATCAGTAGCCCCTCTTCGAAAATAAGTCCTCCAGGGTGCAATCAGTTCTTTAGTCAGAATGGAGTATGGTTTCTTCTTGTCATTAATATCTCTTAATGAATGAAAAAGCTTTTGCATGAACCATGAGACCATTTTATTCTATACATAATATCTCAAAATATTGGCAATTTCAGGTTGAGGCTTAAAAAATAAGTAATTTTCTGAACAGCTATCACACCTTCTTAAGATGAGATTTAAAGGTAGGAAAAATTTTTGTGATAATTAAAAATGTTTGTGATAATTAAAATCCTTTTTTTCAAAAATACGTGATAAATAGCTCTGGCACCTTGTCGGGTGTTTTAGTGAATCAAAATGAATCTGTTCCTGCTTCAAAGGTCTTATGTACAGAAAGTTTCTCACTCCCATCCACCCTACTATTTAGCTGCTAACCAGCGCTCCTGCCTCAATGAGAAAACCAGAAGCCATACAGGGAGATGGCTTCCCATCATCAAATCTAGAAACCCACAAGCACTGAGCCCCATCTTCTCTGCCTTCCCTCCTATTACAATGTAAGAAGTACCTTTCCTCTTACCAAAGACTAATCTCTCCTCTTCTGCTCTGGATCACTTCTTCCCCTGCTGTCTCAAAGACTCTGCTCCTTCATTATCACCTCATGTACTGCATTATCACACCTTCTCTAATGATCAGTGCAGACATATGCCACAGGACTTTACCTGAAAAATATCAAAGAAACAAAAACATTATATTTACCTTACAGCTCCCTCCAGTTGCCACTCTAGCTCTCTGCTGCCTTCATCACAATACTTCCCAATGAGTTGGGATGGTGGACAACAATGAGTTGTCCACCATCCCCATGTTTTTGTGTCTCATTCACTCCACAACCCACTCCATGTGATTTCTGTACACTTGACTCCCATAAAGGCCATTTTTAAGCCTCCATGTGCCCAAATCCATATTGTCACCTTAGGGGATATTTCATCCAATTCTATGGCTTTAAATGAGATCTATAATAGGATGTTGAGTGGGACTATTCCTATTACCCAGAATTGGCAACTAAGGCCAAAATGAAAGAAAATGAAGCCATCTATATACACACCAAGGAATTTCCAGTATTTGAAGACAGACACCTCATTCAGGGCTTACTAAGAGGCAGTTAAGGAAATTGCTGCATGCCCTTCCTCTCTTATCCCTAACACTACAGGAAAAGTCAGCAGACTTAAACAGTTAAGGGAATAAGGCCAATTACTTCTCCTCTCAAAGGTACCAGAGAAATGGCAAAACAAAAACAAAAAATAATAATAAGAAGAAGATCTTGCTCCTTTCCCATTCCAAGTTCCTTGAGAGGACATCTGGTCAGTGCTGGTAGAAGAGGGGATGAAATTTAAATTGTCATGATATGGAAGTGTTAAACTGGACTAAGCAGGCCTTTAAAGAACTAACAATGGCAGGAGGCTACCCATTTAAAAAATTAGAAAGGAAGATGCAACAGAGCAAAGTGAAAGGCAGGGATAGAAGAAAACAAACTAGTTCACTCAGTAAACCAGTTACTAACCCATATGCTAATGATTCTCAACTTTGTACCCCATCCCAGACCACTATCATGACCCCTAGAGGCATATGTATCCAACTGCCTTCTCTATTTGGAGATCTTATATGCATTTCAAACCTGATTTGTCCCAAAGGGAACCTCTTGATTTTTACCTCTCAAGCCTATTTCTCTCTGTCATTTATATCCCAGTAATTGGTGCCATCACCCAATTGTTTAAGCCAAAACCTAGGAGTCATCCTTCACTCATTTCTTTTCCCTCATTACCATCAAGAATTTCCACTGATCCTACTTCCAAAATGTACCTTTAACACGTCCACTTTTCCCTATCTCCCCTACCCCAATTATTCCAACATTCGTAATCCATTCTCTACATACCTTCTAAGTGATCTTTCAGAACACAGTTTAGCTCATGCTATTCTCCTGCTTAAAATCATCCGGCTGGGTGTGGTGGCTGGAGCCCATAATCCCAGCTACTCAGGAAGCTGAGGTAGGAGGATCCCTTGAGACCAGGAGTTCAAAACCAGCTGGGCAACATAGCAAGAGCTCATTCTAAAAATAAGGTAAAATCATCCAATGGCTTCCTATTACTCATAGCAGAAAATCTAGATTCTTCGCCAAATCTACAAGGCTCTACATGATCTGGCTCCTGTTAATGTATCCTACCCCGACTCACAGCACTCTTTCCCTAATTTATTGATCCCAGGCATACTTTCTGCTCATAAAATACTCAACCATATCCCCCCAGAGAGATTGTACTTGCTGTTTCTCTGCCTAAAACCATTTTTCTCCCAACTATCTAAAGGTCTGGCTCATTTTCATCCTTGATATAATTCTTCACCTTCTCAGAGAAATATTTCCTGATTACTTTATCTCACTACCCGTAATGACTTATCACAAGCTTGTATTTATTTTATTTGTTTACTTAGTCTGTCTTCACCATTGGAATAAAAGCTAGGGGCATTGGCAGTGTCCATAACTGCACAGCACATGCAAATTGACTATAAGACAAAGTAAAGCATCAACAGCTTTGGGAATTCAAAGGAAGG